TGAAATATATATACATGTATATATATATATATATATATATATATATATATACTTGCGACAGAGAGAAGAAATATGTGCAAAGTTGCCTTTGTAATAATCAATTGTGTTTCACCAGGAGCGTGTTTTGGAAATCACTCGCTAAATACCACAAATCGATGTTTATTTAAATATTTATTTATCTACTTATTCGGTTACAACACGAGACTCAATTATAGAAGGACATATCTCGATCACCGAGTGAAAGAAACCCACTGTGTCGGTGCCGTTCAAATATATACAGCGCGACTGCTCCATTGTTTACCATCCTCTCGTCTTTCTCATTGGTGACCTTAAACAGGTAAATTCCCTCTGACCCTTTCTGTGGTCTGATTCGATCATATTCGGCGATCTGCGGCGCTTAAAACCCCTCACCCCAACACGCGACTGTCTGATTACCAGCTTGTACGTTTTGTAGTGCTCTTGTTGTTACGTCCAATCCATCCGTGTGCTGATGGCACTCATGCTGCACAGTCGAAGTTCACTGGGCCTGCCTGAGACTGTAAAAAGGTGTGGTTTATCGCTTGGGTTAGCTGGACAAGCACCAGTCCCTTGTTGTAGCTGAACCATCCGACCGATCGATAAATAAACCCGATCGGTTAGGTGATTTTCGGGCCAGCACAGGAGGAGGATAGGTTCCGAATCCGATGTTGCCCAAGTGTTGGTGGAGAATCACCACAAGAGAATCAGTTGTGGAGCCGGTAATCAGAGAGTCTCGTGTTGGGGTGAGGGATTTTAAGCGCTGCAGATCGCCGAATCAGATCGAATCAGATCACAGAAAGGTTCAGTGGGAATTTACTTGTTTAAGGTAACGGGTGAGCAAGACGAGACGATGGAGCATTCGCATTCGCTTGTCAGGCATGCTTATCTGGTAATCTTTTGTTTGTTCATTCATATACTTGTACCCAGAAAGTGTATTTTAGACACAATAACCTCATTTGCAACATTGGGTAATTTTACCGGATACGCATGCCGGAGGAGTGGCAAGAACCGCGAAACCGGTTGTGCGCTTCCACGAAAACTTTGTCCAGTCATTCACATACTACTTATTATCCTATATATATATATATATATATATATATATGAGATGCTTTGTTAAATGGTATTGCTCTCTTTGTACCAGTTCGTTTGTTCCTTCTCCACCGACTGTTTTTTGTCCCTTGTTTGCACTGTGTTTACCCCGATTGAACTATTGCTGCGAAATGAGTGGAGATGATCATTTTTCCGCCTTTTTTATGTGGTTTTCGGTTTGTTCTCAGATCACGATGTGGCCTTTTGTTGCATTATTTGATTTGAGTTGTATTGGCGTGTACAGGTGATCCAGTTCGATGTGTCTGTGTCCCTTCAGCTGGTGAATAAACGTTCTCAAACAAGTCACCAAGCTCGACGAATAGATGCAATGGAGTACATTTCATCCATGCTAAGAGAACCCATTGTTTATTATTTATCAATATAAAATAGTGTTGAATTGAAAGAAGGTGGGAAGCGAAATAATGAAACAACATTTCACAGATTGCAGTTCCTAGCCTATGATGAATAAAAACAGATATCTGAAGAAACGGCAATCGTACCACATACCTTTCCTTCCAGAGTGCTCTTTGTCTCATCTAGACGTCGGAAGTCCCGATGCCATTCGTCTGCCGCCTGGGAGGCAGCCCGTTCCCGAGATCTGAGCGCTTCTTCCATGTCGCTTAGCTGTCGACTGAGATTGTTCACTTCGTTCTGGAGGGCCGTTTTGGCGCATTCTATATCCACCAGTCGCTGTTTCAATCCAGCTTTCTCCCTATAAGTTCAAACAAAAGCGCGAGGTATGAGAGATTTTTGTCCCACGCTCACTTACATCGTTTATCAGAATGTCTATCGTGTTCACAAGCCAGATGTATGCAAAAGCTTTAAGAGGAGTGAACAGTGCACAATTCCCGACGGAAAAAGATTACTGATGTCTAGTATGTGAACAGAATAAACAAATTGTCAACAATGCAATCCGTTGTATTGGGCTTGTGTTGATAACAGAGATAGAAATTGAGTAGCTTATCCACGACCCTGATCTTCCCGTTTCGAATGAGTTGAAGCAAATGGTAAATTACACATTGTTTGAGAAGCCAATCTGGTAATCACCATGCTCACTGTAGTAGGAAATATGCTTACAACCCCGCTGGTAGTCTGAGCTTGCTGTGAAAGCTCACTTGTCAATCCGAAAAGAATGACACACAACCAAATAATACGATTTCACAAACCTGCTCGAATCGACCATCTCGGAATAGGATATGCATCGAGGATCAGGATTTTCAATCCCTATGTGCATTCACTGCATGCAACCGCACTGATTCTGAGGTTGTCCTCGATGGTGACTCTGTTTCCAGGGTTTCGGTGAAGAGCGAGGACAAATAAAACACCAATAGCCGAGGACTGGAGTAAGAAACCTGGCTGATAAAATGGTCGCTGCGGTCTTATTATTAGGAAAACACCTTTTGACGACTCCAAGTTCGCATGTTATTTGAAAAATGAAAAATGTGGCATACATGATGCTATTTGAACCTCTCTACTGTAAAAAAGAATACTAAAATAATGTCAGCTTCCGAACGATTCTGATCGGATACGCCAATTAATGGGTCATGCTTCCATTACGTACGATTGCTGTCCAAGCACTGGAAGAGGCTGCGTACGGAATAATACACAATGTCACCTTATCTGGGATTTTATTTCAGGGAATAGCCCGGATTAGCGAGTTCCATTGGTCTTGATTTACATTTGAAAAGGCTTGTGTGGAAGAGAATTGCGAAAAAAGGGTTGGCGGTTCCAGTCAAGTCAAGTCAAGGAATCACTTTATACGCATCGAAAGGTGGATATTCAGTAACCACATAATCACAGTGTCGACAAAAAGTAAAAAATACATTATAATACAACAATTAAAAGACCTGAAAACGGACAGCAACACCAGAAACCAATGGCATATCCCGGTGTTTTACGATAGATTATGTTTAACATTTTGCGCAGATTTCCTGCAACGAGTTCATGGTTTGTTAGAAATCTGTCGAGAATCAGGACAATAGAGCGCCTGTAAACTTCAGTGCCTGTCTGTATAAGTTTGTGAGTAGAACGGTTGGATGAGTGAGGAAGGCACTGACTAAGGGCGGAATAAAAGAGATGAGAAATATCAGATAAAATCTTGCCGGATAATGTTTTACAGCACATGAGGTGGTATGTCAACACATACTGTATCAGATGTTCCCGTGTTATGAGACTACAAATAGACAGAAACTTGAGGGGTCGGGAAATGAATTTGAGGTCCTTGTTAAAAAAACCAGGGGACCCATAAAGGCAGTGGGGCAAAATGCAAGCAAAAACAAAACGCCTTATGAGACGGTTTGGGATCGAAAGTGATTTAAGACGTAAAACATAAAACATGAGCCTCCTGACTCTCAAAAGAAACGTCATTAACGTGGTTGGTTGGACTTAGCTCATTTATTGGTGATTTTTCTCCCCAAAAGCAAATCAAGACACTGAAAATTCATTCAAATGTTAATTAAACCCTCCCAGTATGATGGTACAATTTTTAATCACATTGATTATCAGAACCGAATTACGGTTGAGACTGATCAATTGATCAAATCTATGCTAGTGCAGAGGAAATGAAACGAGGAATTTGTTTGTTCACATCCTCTGGTGATGACCAAGTTATGCGCTTATTTCCCACTTGTCCTCGTACCTGTTAACCCACAATGTTGGTGTGTCGAGCTCCTCTTGTTGATGAACATGAGGGAGCTTCCCAGTTGCGTTGTTCATTTCCAACAACAGAAAGCTTCCGAATTCCGTGTGCGAGATATGTACATATTGATCGTGGGGTGATACACTTACTGAATAGTTTGTTTGATGCTACCCATATCACAACTAGTTTCATTGGGAAGTGTGTTAAATCAATATCATTTTCACGTTTTGGAGATTTGGTGAAGTTGTTTGTATGCTTGACCAAATGCGCTACCATCTTCGGTTTTTATACCCCGCGGCGCATCTCTGTTATCGTCTGATTGGTTATCTTGCGCGACGCTTACCGGTGCACATCATTGGCTAGCAGGTGCATATGTCACTCGGACCCATTTGGAAATAAGAAGCAAGTGAGGAAGCTGAATGCAAGCTGGTTCCAACTAGGATTTGATCGATCATTGTTAAAATAATAAGATGGAACTGGGGATAGTTATGTGGGGTGCCTCCATATTATTAATCTTACATTAAAAAACCGGCAAACCAGTTTGATGAATGGTTAAATGGTTCTGAATATATGTATGGTCTGTACTCTATCATTGAGCATTTGTAGTTTCTACCAATTATTGTTGAATGCTGGCATTTCACCAAATGTCATCTACCGCATGCAATTTATTCACTAACAAGAATCAAACTGACCGGAAATAATTTTGAAACTACAGACTATGATAAATTATTAGCTCCAAAAATAAACCTTACTTTATTGTCAGATAAAAGAGATGAATTGAAAGTTAGTTCTATGGTCAGATAATGGATCTTCGTTAGTTTCCACCGGTGTGAATTCCTGATCCCACAGTGCTAATCAGTTCATTTCAAGCGAAAAATTGAGTGAGTAAGCTCAATTGGCTCCGATTAGTTTGTTTAGCAATTGTGGTCTGATTCGCATGGACGGAATTCGGATTAACACTACGACTACTAATGTTGTGACGTACTACTTACACTTGTAAGTAATATGCAGAATAATGCTGTTGGCTGTTTCTTTCGGCGGTCAAAAATGAACAAGACTTCTTGGAGCGAATTGCTTTGCTCCAGAGATTAACTACGGACTGTTCCATTCATTACTCTCTGCGCTGCCGGGAATTCTGATGACATGTTTCAAATGTGATATTTTGTTATAAGTATGCCAAATTATCGATATTCTATCTGTAATCCACATTAACCGACTATCCTCGACCAGGCACCGCCTTGCGGAATTAGAACACTGCTATTACTATTACCATTACACTACCACTACCACTAACATATTCGATAGCTAAGGTTTCGATCTCCCTGCGGGAGTGTTAAATGAAAGTTTAGTGACCCGATAGGCAGTGAGCTTCAGCATGTGGAGCAATGTCCGCAGTGTTCCGATTCTCATTGCTTTACTGTGGCTACCCATCTGGACATTGCCATCGCTATCTCTTTAGACAGACAAATAGTAGACGGAACATTCTCCACAACGAACCAGCCTCGAACTAACACAAGGCCTCATATATGTGGTTGTCCATCGTCTAAGCGCTGAGAGCTCTCGAACGCAGAAGGCATCGCTGCGACCGACTAAACCAATCGGACATCAGTTTAAAATCAAGTAGTAGTCTAATTAGAATAATTATCGGCTGTGTTAAACCAATGCACTCATTATGCTCACGATGTTTAGTGTTGGATGAGAGACGAAGACTTTCTGTGGCCGGTGGATGATTCACTCAAAGTCTCAGTTCACAGTCTCACTGAATGGGCACCTTCAAGTGGTGGTTTTGTTTGCTTCCTTGTGCCCGCCCAGCTCATGAAGAGAGAATTCCAATTAGACCATAAACAGATTGAGCCATGGCAAAACAAAGCCCTCGGAAATGATAGAAGAAGAACTAGTCCCGTGGTCGTGTGGTTAACGCTATCAAAATAGTGACTCGGAAGTGCTGAGTTCTAACCATGCCACCCGGTGCACATCCTACGCACTTCTGTATTTATCCCGGGCAGCTTTTGTATGGCCGCGGCCCGCTTCTTGAAGATCAATTATACATTTGTATGATAAGTAAACAACAAAGAAAATAAAATTTGATAACAGAACATGTCGTAACGCGACTGTGAACAAATAAGGCGGACACGATGTCTGACATTCTTCCAACCGGAGTTATTGAGTTAGAAACAAAACCTACAGGGTCAGTAACACTTATTTTATAAACAGCGTGGGGTAGGGGTGAAGCCGGGTCGAAAAATATAAGCACTCTTAATGTGATTGCATACTGCATACTAGGAACGGAGCCGAACACTTTCTAACGTAATTCAGTATATTCACTTCCTGACTGCATTTCAGATCCGGTCTCGGTTGAACCAGTAAGGAATGGATGATTTGGCTTCCTGTGCTTTACGACCGTGCCGANAACAATGGGATAAATGTCACCTGAGTTTTCATGTAGGTCAGGGTGTTTTTTATCTCACAAACAAATGTCCTCTTAAATATATTCGGTACGTAGTGGCATGGGATAGGATCATTATTAATCTAAAACAACTTGTTTCGTAGCTTGACACAACCAGCAACGACCCTTCATTCTTTCACTGCATCGTTCTGCCCGCATATATTGCCGAGACGCTTTTCTCACAGCCTACTGGATTTAGACCACCAAATTTTTACAATTTTATCATCATCATCATCATCATCATCATCATCATCATCATCATCATCATCGGTTCAGCTTACGCAACCGCAAACACGAATGGTTAGAAATGAACTTCACATACCGTTTGATGGTGTCCTCTCGTGTGAGTGTATCCTTGATTTGATTGCGCAGTTCGTTCACCTCCTGTTCCAGTGATTGTTTCTCGAATGACACTTTCTTCAACCGGTTTTTCATCTCAGTCGCTTCGCGTCGTGCTTCGGCCGCCGAATTCGAGATCTCTTTCATGTGATCCTGCAAATCGGCAATACGTCTCTCGGCTGTGCTTCGATCCATCTCGGTCCCTTGCAACTGTGACCGTGTCACATTTGTCATTCGTACCAGTTCGACTCGTTCCATCTCGGCCGTTTTCAGTTGACGTCGAAGCTCCTCGTTCGATGTGTCCAGGGCATTCTTTTCCCGTTCGACTTCGGCAAATCGTTGACGAAGTTCGGCACACTCTCGGCGCACCGCGTCGCTTGTCTCCTCAGCTGCAATTAACGGGAGAAAGATTATCTTTTAGAGAATGAAATAATTATAATGTTTACACTTAAATTTTATCTCCAGCGATAACCACGGAATTAACTGCTCCGTTGATTGCATCGTCCATACATAGATTACGCACATTAGGACATGTATTGCACATGTCACCAAATAGAGTGTTACGAGGCGCGATGTTTACCGAGGTAGGCAGTGATTGAAAAAGTCAGGAGCGATCAAACTAGGATCTGGCAAGCGGGTAAGGAGACCCTCAAGATCGTGATAATCGGTAGTTAGGGACAATTACTGATATGGCTATGTTGCAAATCCACTCATTATTCTTGCAATCCGTCTACATGAGTCCTCTATCTTCTCTTTGACTCTGCTCTCAACATTCCAATTTTCGTCCTGCTCTTTTATCCAAAACAGGTTGTCTAAGAAAGACAGTAACCAAAACCGGTGCATAACGGAGCATCGGTAATGTCTGTAGGAACTGAACCGAACACTGAAGTGCTGATAAGTGGCTTTCCATTCGGTGACTTCACAAACTGCCTGTGGTATTATTGAAGATATGTTGACATTCAGTAAAATTTGTGGTCCAATTTGATACGCTTTCACTGAGATTAGTGAAAGGAAAGACAGAGTTTGCCTATCACACAGGTTACCAAAATCTTCCCAAGGGTAAGTTGGTGAACAAGTTAGTTATTGGTTCTTCATTAACTATACAAATAAAAAACACTCGTGTGTAGTGCCGGCATCAGTATTGGTCCCAACTTGTTTTCCTGTACTTTGTTCTGATTAATATGAATTTATTACCGCTTGAAAAATCCGAGAGGATTTTCATTTTGACTATCCTTGGATTTTGGGGAGTGAAAAGCTATTTATCTCACTCCCAGGAAATGACGAAACCATCCAATTGGCTGCAAAGTACAGTGCATCTATGAAACGGTTCACTGTATAGACTTCACAATCCTAACACAGTTTTTAGCAGTTCCTTTACGAACGACCAAAGTGTAGTGATTGCATTCTACTGCGAATCCCACAAAGTGATTCGTGTTCCGGTCGTCACACGTCACCGATTGAACCGGGTCTATCAAAACCCCGTTCAGTCGGAATGGACTGATTTATACATGGACAAACAAAAGTACTTCCTGAATGAGTTACCGAATAAGGATAAAAGTTTCGGTGCGGTCGGGTTTGACTGTTCGTCCCCCCCCCGTCACGTTATGTCCGTGACCGCTGATCGAGTGAGCTTTCGACGAGAATAACCCAGCGCTAATTGACCTCCGTCTGTCAGCCTGGTAAAGAAGGGAATCACATCAAAATGAATCGCTAAATCTATCACTATGCACAAGTATGAATATTGGAATGAATTAGTATGTGAGTGGCTTCAGTCTGGGCCCACAATAGCCTAGCAAATTCCATTGAGACAGTCATTGTCTCGAATAACACGGATCCGTTTGAACCGAGTGCAATTGCCTACGTAGTTCTGGTATTGAAAAGCACACTTACTAAGATAAAGTGAAAGAACCATCAATATTTCACCTGAATAGCGTGAGCAAATGTGAAATCTTTTACTAGATAACAGAAATTACCTCTTGGGTTGACTATTGCGTTCTATTCACAATGCCAATGATAACAACCTGTCAGCTGTAGCTTCTTCTTTAGTTGTTCGGTTCCGTCGTACGGGTTGTTAGTTTTATTGCATCATTCATTATCCTAGTCTCTTTTCGCAGTCTGATTACACCTATGCAATCCTCACAGTTCACCGAGCGAGACAGGTAATGATTAAGAATAATTCACACTTATTGGTAAATCTGTAAATAATGATGCGTCTGTATAGAGTGCCTTTCCGCACCAGAACTGTGCTCACAAAAGCGGCTGATTCAAGCCCTCCACTTACCCCATTTTCATAATAGCAAATCACAGTCAACTAATTACTTATATGATCTTTGTCACTGGTTGTTTTCGGCATTCTTATTACATAATGGAGCTCGCTGTAACAAGTTGGGAGCTCCAACAAGTTTTTTTTCTGATTGCACAAAGGCGGTGGTACAGTCAAATCACGATGTCCTACACGAGGAACATAGATGTCCGGAGTGACTCCTTTGTTGATAGTGATCCGCTAATGGTGTGGATAGGTTGAAATAATTTATTCAAATTAATCAGGGCTTTTTTTTCTCCTCGTCTCTAAGCGTACCAATCACATTTGCTTCTTTTCTCATCCCCAGCCCGCCCCGTCCAAGTGGCCAAATCACTTGGGCTAGTGTTCACGAACACAATCGGTCCGGGCGTCTATAGTCATTCCAACCCGCATAAAATCAATCACAGGAACAAACGAACTGATAAACAACATAGGCGGTCCGTAATCGGTATTGTTAGCACCATATAGTTGAGGCGAGGAGTCTATAGGCCTATTTCATCGGAATGGTACGTACTCATACACTCGGTAACTGGGGCTCTGTATGTCCACTTCCGCATAGTTTGACCTCTAAACTGAATGAGCACGTAGACGAACGTGTTGAAGACAGCGAAAAATTTTCGTTTCGTATGCGCCGGTTGTAAACTCTTCTGTATCAGCCAACTAAAACATCCCGTCAGCTCGCAAGGTGTTCTTCGCTATTTGAACCACAGTGTATTGGTATTCCAAATAAAATAAAATAGGAGATCAAATGAAAGGCTGACGCATCCGGATAATTGTCTTCCTTTTGCATTGATACAATGGGAAAATGGAAACCACTGCTTCCGAAATAGGCCAGGTGCCGATGATATATGATGAATTTCGTCGGGTACAGTGAAAACGAAAGCTTTTGCGCTTCCAGGCATTCCGGAACCTACTGGCTATACGTTGCAGTTGAGAAAAAAAACAACAAGACGAACGAATCAATCCAAGTCTTCTTCCATTGAATTAATCATTATTTATAATTTTCAGGGCTCTTTCGATGTTTGGGAAGACCCCACACTATATTCATGGTATGCGTTGACGCAGGCATGTCTGCATTGCTAATGGCAACGGCCGCATAGCTAAAGAATGAACGTACATTACTGACGCTGATTCTGACAGAAAGGAACAGCAACTCCCGGGAGTGTCATGCTCTGACACAAACAGCTAATTCTGGACACCAATCCGCGCATTATTCCTCTTCCTCAAAATAAAAGCACGCGCTAACCATGGTAAGAGCAATTATATCCGTTTTTTTTCAAACCCAACCGCTACAAGAAGTTTTACAATCCATATGAACATTTACCGTTCTCCTTACCGATAATACATTACTTCAGTTACGAATAGGAGATTCGGGTCAAGAATCAAGACCTCGGCCATCCCTTGGCCACACGGTCGATGTTTATCACACTGAGTGAATGAACACGGTAGTTTGGAGTGTGAGGTTCGCATTCACCGGTCAGAATTTCCATAGATATCCGGTACTGTGTCGTAGGATCGCTCAGGACGTTAGCCGTCAACGATGTGACACAAACCGAAATCCTAGGTTCGATTACAGTACAGAGTATGCCATACTGACGTTGGCAAACGTAGAGACGATTAGCACCCGACTCATGAAGTATGAGCTGTGCGCACAACGAAAACGGATCCAAGCTCTCAAACTCCCCTGGCCAAGGGAAGAGAAAATCACTTGTCCGTATGACCATGGCGTAACATGACGACTTTTGGTTACGTAATCGAACAAATATGGAGTTCTCTCGGTCTCATTATCAAACACATGACTCATTCACCTTTCTTTTTCACCCTACTGGAAGTGTTTCATGTAAATGAGATTGTAAAGGCTTCGAAAGGAATTCACCGAAAACATATGTTCACCTACATTGTGTTCTTAATCAGAAAATAAATCTTCGCATAGCTGCTGAATATCCATCCCTCGGGGTGCATAATTTCCTTGATTTGACTTGACTGACCATTATCAGGTCCCAGTGAGTGTGAAAATACTAATTGGTTATACTCGCATTGGCCCATTCGATTGTTTAAAGGTGCCATGCATTGTTGATGGCATTAGGCTTGGGTTCCACTCCTTGGGAGATTGTTAATTTCCCACCGGTTAGATGCATCAAAATGCGATAGAAATATCAGTGATCAGGGACAATTACCAACTCAAAGGTTCACATTACCAGTCCCAACCGGGGGAAACAGAAAGTACGCACTACTGATGAGTCCCCACTAAGGACAAAATAGCTGTCTATGGTCTCTTCAGTGATTCCACTGATTTCTATTACATTCAAAACCTAACATTCGAACCGCACTGCAAACACCTGTTCACCTCCAAACTGGTGCTCTCGTGATTCATATACTTACTTTTGGGTTTACGAATATGATGTACCTGTGATAAAGAGCGGTACTGGATTACAATTCGCAACAAACTTTCTCTGTCGACGCCTCTCTAATACCCTTCAATCCACGCTAATTCTGAACGGTCGTCTTTTTTAGGAAAATTTCGGCCGTATTGAACACATTGTGAGGACCGTTGGTTCAAACATCCAGTTGGTGGGACCTAATCAGGACGTCGTTTTCTCACTTCTAATTACGTTTGCTTTCTGATTGTTTTACTGGCCTTTCTAATAAACAACTAGAATAGTATCATAACTATCGTCAGTCTTCACGAGAAGTGATCAAAGTTGGCACGTCGAAAGTGCAATTTTTCTTTTGTGTTACTTTCCAACCAAATCCTGATGGCAAATGTTGAAAACATAAACGAGGAAACATTAAAAATACTGAACAGTTCTGTCAATAATGTCTATCACGTATCCATAACGTGAAGTATTGTCACAAGCCTTTCAGACACGGATACCACAAAGCTCTCAGACAGCCACGACTTCCGGAGAGCTGTCAAATCGGTTCAAAACCCACGAATTGCGAAGCATGAGACCTCGCGCGAATATAGTGAACACGGTGCTGCCACCGCGTTAAATAGATGTACTGAGTTGCTCAACATGGTCCAATCAAGCATTGCCACCAACACGTTAAAATGAGACATATATGTGTTACACTTCAGAAAAAAAATGCATTTATCTATGCTTCAATTCGGTGGTCATTCGTTGACAGTTGCTTCCTGTGATCTGTACGGTGCAGTTCAGTCCACGGAATGAATACCTCGTGTGAGCGTAAAAAGCCATCGTTACTCGAACCACACAAATTGAGAAACTGGTTTGCTGCCCGTCAAAGCACGCTCATCTTATGAGGTTAATTTTACCTCAGTAACTTTGTGTTTGTCGTGTTATCGAAGATCCTAGACTCTTCTGCTCGTTTGATTACGTAACAGTTTCAAACATGTCATTCATCGCCTTCTTAAGCCACAACGGGATGTGTTTGGCCACTTAGTGAGGTAACTGCCTGTGTCCTGCCAATGTGGATGGCCTAGCGTCCACTCCTGAATTGGTAAATGCAAGTGGATTTTGCTGAGGGGAGCGCGGCTCTTTCACCGATATCGTTGATATCTGGGTCGTAGTGATGACCATATCCGGATAAATTGCGTAATAAACGGGCTTGAAGGTAGAGTTCAACAGCTTGTTGGCTAATTCACTCACGTCATCTCCTTTGTATGCTAACTTAAAAAGCATTCATCCTGGAAACAATTATCGGTTTTTCTACCCTTGGTATTGCTCTTTAGCGTTTGGTGATGAATGTAACTGGATATCTGTTTGCTTGTCGTACTTCTTTTCAGAGGTCACTTTCATCGTGTAAAGAGTTCGCTTTGCATATTCTCCGCACTCGATGAAATGGTGTGTGAACAAAACCAAATTTAAATCGCACGGAGACGAAGCTCATGAAATACAAATATTTCCCAAACCACATGTTCTCTCAGAAGACATAAATTTTAATTATTTTATCTGGTCGACGAGTAATGTGTATATCTCAAAACTCAATGCGGTCGTCCCGTTGGTCGTGACGAGTTAGCTGGATTTTCGGGCGAATTACTTTGATACGCTGGAACAGATTTTCTCCGGCTAATAAAGAAGATGTTATCAATACAGGGACAGTATGGATTTAGTCTTGAAACATCCTCTTCAAGCGTCTCTTCTAAACCACTTTTCTTCCCACCCAAGTATTTCGGGTCATCTACAACACAACAAACACAAAATTATTGGAATTTGTTGACGCTCCAGACGTTCATACTTTTATCTTAGTTGAATCTGATTCCAAGGAAAATGAGCCAGTATCGGGCGTCGTTTGGTTTGGCGGATGTGTGCGGTCTTGCAATGCTACATGTAACAAAGTGCTATAGTAGATAACGTTACAGCGAATGTTTGCTATTTGCAGAAAACAGTTTCAGCATCGAAGACAAACTTAACGACTGCTAGATCGTATGAATACTAGTTATTGCGAACCTCATTTTTGGTAACTGAATATATAGCAGATTTTAAAGATAACTCAACATAGGAGAGGAGGGGGAAGAGAAAGAGTGAGTGGAGAAGTGAAGGTAAAACATGAGCACAGGTTGAGCTATATTCGATTCAGGTGATAAAGGACAACTGAGGCGAGTAAAATCAACCGCTGTAATTCCTTTTAAGTGTCCAAACCACACTGGGTCTCTCATGGTTATACGTTCACAATCGGAAGACTCAATTCTGTTTCACTTACCCTCACTAAACCATCATGCACTCATCATCAAGCACAATGTTGATCCCAATTGCATCATCACAGTCTAAGAGGATCAATTATTATTACTGATATCATCGAGTGCCCCCGTATTTGATCATTCTTGACATCTGTCACATGATAATGCATCAAGAACAAATTTGTATTGTTAACCTGTTCTTTATAATAACAATATCCTTCTTGTTTCTACTTGTGGAGAAGTGGTGTGTAATTCCTCAAACCGCGTAATGATCATATACCTCAGTTTTCTTTTATCTGCGAAAACTGCCTTTACTATTTACAAGGGTACATATTTTCACAACTTTTTTTATCGAACTGGTCTGATGATCAGTATGAACTACATCTCTACTTGTATTGTGTCTGTTGGTCAACAATATGATAACTAGATTTTTAATCATAACACTCAGGTGTCTGAGAACAACTACAGTAAAAGTATTTCGTTCCAACAGTTAAAAATATTTTCTAAACAAATACAAACAAGCTTTTACGTCTTCTGGACTGATCGCAGCATGCAAGCACTAGTCAATACGACTCACCGGATCGCATTCGTCTGGTAATTTCCAACAGGTCAGCCCGATTCCCATCACGTGACTCTTCCGCGAGACGGGCTTGCAGTTGAAGTTCATTTGTTTCCTTCACCAGCTGATCCCGTTGACCTTCGAGTTCGTGAACACGCACACGCAATTCCCTCACTTCTTTCTCGTGCTGTGAACTGCATAGAAGAAAACAAAAACATCATACTGTTTCAATCGCATCAGGGGAAGTGAATCCCAGAGTAGAAGTATGATCTAAGTACACTCGAAGATCTTTTAATCAGCGTAGCTTCTGCAATGATGCACTAAAGATTGACTGCCCCCGTTTAAAACTAAGCTCAGATAAAAATTTGAACCACTAAACTTCAATTACTTTGATTTTTAGATGAAACTTGAGACGAACGATTATTTATCAAGGTTTGAACTTCAAGAGGGAGGGGGTGGGGACGGAGGGAGATACGTCGATCGACTGTGTAAA